GCTGTCGTCCCCCTATAGCACAATACACCTCTAATTAACATTTTCCCAACTAGGGTTGACCACACTATAACAAGTCAATCTAGGTCAACGCTGGTCAACGGTCAACGGTCAACTTTGACCGGACTCGGCGAGTACCCAGGCGACTCGGCGAGTCTGGGCGTGTACACCAATTTCCCTGGAATCCTCCCTTGACACGTCGAGCATTCCCTCAACTCGACGAGTTCCACCTGGCACGAGTTGTGGGGCCACCACGACTCAACTCGCCGAGTCTCAAGAAACAACTCGGCGAGTCCAGTTAGACTCAGTCCACCTGTCCATTCTGACTCCCCCTTGACTCACTGAGTCCACCTTTCCCAACTCGGCGAGGCCACTCACAGTGTGGTCGGGCAACATTCATGCTACTCGCTGAGTCTGTTCTTCGGACTCGGCGAGTCCATGCCATGCACTGACTCAATCTTGCTCTAAAGGTCAGATCCAGTTCATTAATCCATAGATCCAGTCCCTCCAAGCTCATTTAGCACGTAAAGTTACAATCTTGATGCACATACAACCTCTATATGACCATATATGATGTTTATGACTCAAATACTACAACACAAGGTCAAAGACTCTGTTGTCACTCATAAAGCTTGATGAGTGAGGCTCTCTGGACCTCTATGGGTCCAGATCCATAACCTCAACTCAAGGAGGGAACCAATGGGCATCAAATCATCCCATAAATGACCACCACAAGCCCTAAATTGCATCATGCTTCACTAAACAGAAAATGGTCCGAGATAATACCTCTAGAGTGATGATCTAAGCTCCAAATCCACGAAATAGCAACCTCCTTTGCTTCCTCTTGCCTAGAGTCTCCTTCTTCTTGCTAAATAACACCCACAAGGTCAAGAAATGCTCCTTTCTCTTCACAAATCGCTCAAGAACACAAGGGTCTCTCACTGAGGGTTGGGTGAGCACAAATGACGGCCATAAGGCCCTTTAAATAGGCCTCAAACCCGGAAATTTAGGGTTTCATTGCACAGCGCAGACTCGCCGAGTCCATATCCTGGACTCGCCGAGTCCAGGCGCGCTCCATTGCCCAAATCCGCGTCCCTACTCGGCGAGTCTGAGCTCCAACTCGCCGAGTCCCCCTCACAATACCACAAAATTAATTTACAAGATACCTGGTAAAAATCCGGATGTTACAGCTAAAGAGGTTTTGGGAGAATTTAACTTGCGCGACGAGTGCATCTAAAGCCAAAAGTGCATAAAGTTAGCTAGTGGAGTTGTACTTTCTGCAAAGGGAATGGTTTGATTTGGCCCATAGATATTAACCATCCATTTACTATATTATTATTATAATGGCCGTGTGTTGAGGTATTATATTATTTTATATTTTGATTTATTGTTGGGCCAAATGTAGATAGAAGGATTAAGGAATGGACTTAAGATAGTGTGCTGAGAAAAATTGGGTCGCCCATAAGTCGTACGTTGGACGTAGCCTTAGCGTACGTGGGGAGTAGAGGCTCGTTGGATTCGGGTGACGCGGGCACGTAGGCGCAGCGTACCAAGAGGTACGCCTAGCGTACGTGAGCAGATGCCAAACCCTAATTTTTAGGGTTTAAGACATATAAATACCCCATTATAGCCTCCCCCTAGCCTCTTTACCAGTCCCTCTCCCTCAGAAAACCCTAATACGCCCTCATACTCCATTGTTGTGTGTGTTTGACTTTTGAGCTCATTTTTGGTGAAGAAAAGCTTCGAAGAAGAGAAGAAGAAGTTGAGTATCTTAAGCTCAAGGATCTAGGACTATTGCATCTTTTGCACTCAAATGAGGTATAAAGTTTCAAACTTTCATCTTAGAATCTTTGATCTAGAGTTATGAAGCTTTGGACCTTTTTAGGTCCAATGGATGGAGCTTTATCATGCAACTTCGATTTTAAGCTTAGGGTTGCCACCCTTGGAGCTCAAAGTATCCTTTTAGCAGTAAAGTTTCAACCTTTAAGGCTTTTAAGTAGCCATGCATGAGAGCTAGCCATTTCTATGGAGATAGTTGCTATTATTCTATGTTTGGGATCATTTGGTGGGTTGCAAGCCACCAAGTGATCGACTTTTTGGGTTAAGATGAATTATTGGACTCAGATCTATAGTTTGGACGTAGTGTCTTAAGGGATTAGGTAGCTTTGAAGAAAAGGTTTGAACAGGGGAGTACGTTGGGCATACACTACCTCTATGAGACAAAGTGTACTGTCTTCACCGATCATAAAAGCTTTTAGCACATCCTTAATCAAAAGGAGCTCAACATGAGGCACATGTGATGGGTGTAACTACTAAATGATTATGAGTGCGAGATCCGTTATCACCCGGGCAAAGCCAATGTAGTAGCTGATGCCCTTAGCCGAAAGGAATACTTAGGCCGCCGAGTAAGGTCGTTAACCATGAAAATCCACTCACACTTGTCTACACAAATTAAAGAGGCTCATCTGGAAGCCCTGAAACCAGAGAATGTACCAGGTGAAGCTTTAAGAGGAATGGATAAGAACCTAGAAATCAAAGGCGATGGAATACACTATTTCATGAATCGCATCTGGACACCCAAGTTTGTTGAATTTAGGGACGTCGTCATGAATGAAGCTCACAAAACTTGCTACTTCTTTCATCCCAGTTCAGACAAGATGTACCTAGATCTCAAGAAACTCTATTGGTGGCCGAACATGGAAGCCGAAATTGCTACCTTCGTGAGCAAGTGCCTGACTTTCGCCAAGGTCAAGGTTGAATACCAAAATCACCAAAAAATACCCGAGTGGAAGTGGGAGCAGATCACAACGGATTTCATAACCAAACTACCTAAGACAACGGGTGGTCTTGATACCATTTGGGTGATCGTTGACAGGCTGACCAAGTTCGTACACTTTATACCAATAAAGGAGACCAACAAAATGGAAAAGTTGACCAAGACATACATCAAGGAAATCGTGTGGTTGCATGGGGTGTCAAAATCCATTAACTTTGACAGGTATAATCGATTTACCTCTCGGTTCTGTCAGTCACTCCAGAAATCCTTGGGAACTAGGTTGGACATAAGTGCAACCTATCACCCACAAACCGACGTGCAAAGTGAGAGGACCATTCAACACTAGAAGACATTCTTAGGGCGTGTATGATAGACTTTGGTAAAGCTTGGCATACCCATTTACCACTTATCGAATTCTTGTACAATAACTTTTATCATACTAGCATTAAGGTTTCCCCATTTGAAGCCCTCTATGGCTGTAAGTACAGATCACCGTTGTGTTGGGCTGAAGTGGGTGACACGAAACTAGCAAAGGGACAAGTCCCAAACTGTACCCTCACTGGCCTGTAGATCATAAGAGAAGCCATCGAGAAGATTGTCCAAATCCGAGAATGATTAAAGGCTTCTAGAGACAAACAGAACAGTTACACGGATAACAAACGAAAGCCTTTGGAATTCTAGGTTGGAGATCAAGTGCGGTTAAAAGTATCGCCTTGGAAAGGCTTGATACGTTTGGTAAATGGGAAAGTTGAATCCGAGATATATCAGACCATTCGAGATCCTCGCCAAGATTGGAGCAGTAGCATACAAACTTCAATTACCGCAAGAACTCAAAAATGTACATCTTACATTCCATGTGTCCAACTTGAAGAAGTGCTTGTCCGACAAGACTCTTGTTATCCCTCTTCACGAGATTGAAATCAACGAGACTCTCCACTTCATGGAAGAACCGATAGAAATCATGGACCGGGAGATCAAAAGAACAAAACAAAGTCTCATTCCCATTGTGAAGGTCTGATGGAACGTTAAGCGAGGACCCGAGTTCATCTGGGAACGTGAAGACCATATAAAACAAAAATGCCCACATCTCTTCCCCAACTCTTGAAGTCCTAGTCAAAATGCTAATTTCGGGACGAAATTCCTTCTAA